TTTGATTGTGTTTATCTGCAGTTAGTTACACGAATTCAGATATGTGATGAAATCGGATTGGGATGAACGAGTTTAAGAGTTTTTAAGAGTTTAAGAGTTTTAGCCAAATACTTTATAATATAGTATAGATAAGAAATATTAATATTACGAAAAGGACATAAAAAGGGTTAGACGACAAAAATATCCCTCGATTAACGTTTTAATAATTTTAAGGGGGATCTTTTTCAAAATAAAATACAAACCATATTGGCATTTGCTGTTTTATGTGAACCGTAAGGACCAAAACTGTAATTTACTCATCTATAAAATGAATTCAGACGATGCATCAAAGCAATTAAGCAAATATAAAATTAAAATGTTGGTAAAAAGTGTGGGATAGATAGAATCTATTCCAAAGTCAAGGGTATAGCCAAACAACAGCCCTGCCCCTGATTAATAGAATCTGTTTACATATTCATCGCAGCCACCTCTCCATTTTCTCTCCACTCACTGTCCACGGCTCTATACGCCTTCTCTCACTTGCCAAAACCCATCTACAAAGTGGTACGTTTCAAATTCCTGAATCAACCTTCCAATTACTTGTTTCATTTGCTCTCTTTTTAGTTTTCTTTTCCCCTGTGGCTGTGGTTTTGATTAATTGTTAAGAAATGTGTCTATTAGTTGTCTGAATTTGTTGCATGATTCTTGATTATCTTTATGTTTGTGATATGGGTTCAGAAAGTTTCCGACTGGAAAAATGGGAAAAGAACAGATGCATGATTCTTGATCTATATGTTAAATGATATGGGTTCTTAGAAAGTTACGACTTATTCTGGAAAAATGTGAAAAAGAGAAGCATGAATCTATGTTTATGTTTATGATTAGGGTTGTTTCTAAAACACTTCTTGCTTTTGATCTCTAGTTCTGATTTCTGATTTAGAGAAACTGGTTTTGATCCACTTCTGATTTAGTTTTTTATTTGTTGATTGTGTTTTGATTTAGAAACTGAATATAATTTCTTGGCTTATTGCCCCTTGATTTCATGCTACCGTTTATATGTTTATTAATTATTGCACATTGTGTTCACTAGGTTTGTAACAAATTGGTTTAATGCCAAGTGCCAACATGTTTTATTACAAATCGGTTTGATTTTGTTCCTCTAATTTTGTTTTAACGTTTAATGTGTTAATTTGCTTTAAGTGTAAACAATATAGAAAAATATATAAATAGTAGTATGATGTGCAATGTGTTCATTTGCTTTAATTTTTAACCAAAATAGTAAAAAGTTAAATGAAAACTGAACCGAATATTTGGTTAACCGAACCGTTTAATCCAAAAACGAAAACCCGAAACCGTTTTGGTTCGGATGAATTGTTCGATCTCGAAAAATTTCGACACCCCTAAGTTTTGCTCGAAGATTGTGAGTTGTAGTCATTCTTAAGCAGTGAATATTGACATATTGCCTCTAGTGAATTCCTTGTATAATTTGCTGATTATGGTTAAAATTTAGAGCATTTCCACTTATTCCTTTAGCTATATTTACATATTGAGGAAGCCAAGCTATGGAGTTGCAAACATATAAATTATTGATGCAAATCTTGATTTCTGTGTAGATTCTAAACTTTTTTTTGCTCGATTAGAGACACCATGTGTGGAATACTCGCGGTATTTGGTTGTGTGGATTGTTCTCAGGCTAAGAGGTCCAGGATCATTGAACTTTCTAGACGGTAATGCCATCTTTTCCAGCATTTCTTTTGTTCTTTTATTTGTTGATTTAATTGGGTATATATGTTCATTGTGTATCAAATCCGTATCCGGCCATAAGGTATTAGTCATCCATATTTCAATGTTTTGTTTGTTGTTATTTTGTTTTTTTCCCATAATTTTAAATGATAGAGCATTATATTTTGTTGTGTGATGACAAAGAAGACAAGTTTGTGAATCTGCATCACTTTGGGCCAAATGTTTTTGGTATTTGTTTAATTTAAGAAATTGAAATAAGTGGAAGCAAAGGGAATGCTGCATGTGGTGATTGGGGGTAATATGGTCTTAATTTTAGGAGCTAAATACTAGGAGTGGTACCAATTCTGTTGCCTAGAAATGTTACATCACTGTTGTTTTCTCTTAAGGATTATTGATTTGATGAATGCCATCTTTGTTGGTTTCAAATTTATGTTGGGGATATGGATGCGTAACATGTGAATGTCGGGATTCAAATATTCAAAAAATTTAAAGATATGCACCAATAAAAGGAAAAGAAGTTATTTTTCAAACGTGTGTTCTAAAATTCCTTCCTAACATTAAGCATCGCCATCTCTTTGATTAATTAGGCTGGTTGATCACCACTAAGAGTTAATTTGCCCCGCTCCACTTAGCTTATCAACTAATCGTCAAGCGTTTCAAAAATTATACTGGAATTAATCAACTTCTCTCAACAGGAAGGAATCATCTCAATCATTTATGAGTAATTATATCCATGGAGATGTGAAACTGGTAATTTTGAGAAGTAACTGTATCAAGATTTTAGTTCTGTTGTGTTTACTTAATCTATAAAAGACATATTTTATATATTTAAATGGTACATACGCATTTGCTTAAGCACCTGCCTAATCCCTACTTGGTCAATCGACCCCCTTCTTGCTCCATTTAACCGTTTCTAGAACAGTAAATAGCAAACATATAAAATTAGCATGCACTTATCATGCTTTTACTTCTACTTGGTGTATTTATGTTAAAATCCAAGCATTGATAAACAGAATTTGGTTAGCCTTTTTTCTTGCAGATGTAATACTTGAGTTTTGATTTGTATTTTCAGACTTTGTTTCTAATTTTATCAATTGTGAGTTTTCATCTCTCCCTTAATTGACAAAAACCAATTCTTTCATCTCTTTATGTTTTTCTTTTTTTTCACTATGTCAGGTTACGCCATAGAGGTCCTGACTGGAGTGGGTTGCATAGTGAGCAAGACTGTTATCTTGCTCATCAACGATTAGCCATAGTAGATCCAACTTCTGGAGATCAGCCACTTTATAATGAAGACAAAACAATTATCGTCACGGTAACCTATATATATATATATATCATCAAGACATGTTATTGTTACTACTAGACATGTTCCAACATGGGTGTGTCTTCAATTTATTTTTATCTTTTATCTGTGTGAACATATCACCTTAAAATCATCGTTATTGATACCCAACCGTCATTTAGAAAATACAAATGGTTGTGGCTCAACTATTTGAACACGGTACCATATTGTTTGCAGTCTAATAACCATAGTTGTTAAAGGCGCACCTAGGCTCTGAGGCTCATAAGGCTCAAGGTCTTGGGCTTTTTTAAAGTCGAGGCTAGACGTATTCACGAGGCTCAATAAGGCCCTGCACCTTGGCTGAGGCGTCTTGTGGGCCTAGGCGCGCCTCATAAAAGAGTAATTAAATATCTAGTCAAACCCTGATATTTAATAAGTTTTCTCATCTTCTCATTTCCTAGACTTCTTAAATAAAGAGTTACAAAATAGATGATACAAGTCAAACCCTAATATTAAATACCGAGTTCTTAGAGCTTCAAGCCTCCTCTCTATAAATACCCGGACCTTAAAACTTCTCCCTCATGGTTCACGCTCTAAACCTATCTCCCTTCTGCCTCTATCAAAGTATTGTTGGTTGCTGCATTGTAGGCTTGTACTTGCTGCATAATTGAGTTTTGTTTAACTGTTTCTGTGTGCATGTGTGTATAAATATTCTGATAAAATGCACCTAGCATTCCCGAGGCCTGCGCCTTGAGCCTTTTAACAACTTTGCTAATAACAAACGGCCCCTAAGTCTTTTTTGCCACTCTAGAGAATTCTTGTTTTGTGGATTGCCCTTATTTTCCTAATATGCCTAGAAACAAAAGTGACCTGTATCAACAAAATAGACATTAAAATTGGTTGTGAGTAATAAAGGTTGTCTTTTTTGCCACTACATCCAAAATTGACGCTTTTTACCCTTGGACCCTGCTTGCTGACACATCCTAGATTATTTATATTAGAAATATTAGAATTATAATTCTTGTTTAATGAGGCTATCCGAATGTTGATTCTGTCTGTCTTCAGGTTAACGGGGAGATATACAACCATAAAGCATTAAGGGAGAAACTGAAGTCTCATAAGTTCAATACTGGAAGTGATTGTGAAGTGATTGCCCATCTTGTAAGTACCTTTTCTAACTTGTGCAGAGGAAGTTGCACACAAATTGATTTCTTTAGCAGGAGTGCTTGAACAATAGACTATTATAAAAAATAAAATGAATGATATAGAAATTTTATCCCTGATATTTTCTGTTAACTTGGTTTACTAGTATGAAGAATATGGAGAAGACTTTGTCCATATGCTTGATGGAATGTTCTCTTTTGTGCTTCTGGACACTCGTGATAAAAGTTATATAGCAGCTAGGGATGCTATTGGGATCACCCCACTTTACATGGGTTGGGGACTTGATGGTACGTATATCCATTATTTTATCGGATACAAGCATGCATATTAATTTAAGGACCTGTTTGTTAACAACATAATGGGACTCACAGCTTATGCGGTCAGCTATACATGACTGTTTGGTTGTGCCTTAATGATATAGAAAGTGTCTTATTTGGTAAGCTTCTAGGGGGAAGCTTTATGTAGAAAGCTAATTTTTTCAATTAAAAACACGCTCCTTCTATCTATGAAAAACTCTCCCAATCTGTACAGACACATTAATCCACACACTCAGCTTTAGCCATACAGGATTTAATGGAAAACCAACCAAACAACCCCTAATATTCACTTAACCTTTCTAGGAGTTGTTTTATGGAAAACCAACCAAACAACCCCTGATATTTATTATTATCTGCAGGTTCTGTGTGGTTTGCATCAGAAATGAAAGCCTTGAGTGATGACTGTGAACAGTTTATGTCATTCCTTCCTGGGCATATATATTCCAGCAAAACCGGTATGTATTATTATTTTTTTCTATTATTGAACATACTTTTAGTTTGTAAATTTACATGCTTTGACTTGTATCAACTCTTACAGAAATTGGTGGTCGTATTGGCAAAAATAACTTATTTGTATTTTGTGATATCATGTCAAGATATTGTTCTTATAAATGAATGCAAAATCCATGGTGTTCATGTAAAAAAACGTACACCATTTACCAAAATTTTAAAAAAAGTTAAAAGGAAGAAGGAAAAACTTGTTTTATTTTCCCATAAACTCTAGTGTTAGGCTTTGCAACCACACCAAATTTGATTATGTCTTTGTAGATATTCTATTAATATATTGACATTACAGGTGGGCTAAGAAGGTGGTATAACCCCCAATGGTATTCAGAACGCGTTCCTTCAACTCCATATGATGCCCTAGTTCTACGTCATGCCTTTGAGAAGGTTTGATATTGCTTCTGGAACTAATATCACTATTTGCTTGTCAGACATTTCAGACTTATTTTACTCATATTTCAGATTTTAATTGTTAAAAATTGTTATATTCAGTTGGATTTTAGATATTTTACGGGATTTATGGTATTGGGAGGTCTTATGATAAATTTTTTGTTATATGTTCTCAACAAGTATGGTGAATGAATTACTGCCACTCCTCTCTGGTAGTTCCAACAGGGTTTATGGATGAGAACTAAGATATCAATCTTACTAGAGTGTTAAGGTAGATAGAGAGTTGTTTTTAGTTTTTCCTACTGTTCATGTCTTATTTATTGCCAGTCTTAGTTTTTCCTGCTTTTACTGTATGCCAGTCTTAGTTTTTCCTGCTTTTACTGTATGCCAGTCTTAGTTTTTCTTGCTTTTACCGTATGTCAGTCTTAGTTTTTCCTGCTTCTACTTCTCCTTGTAATTTTGTTCTAACTGAACTCAAGGTCTGTTTGGGGGTTAATTTAACTAGGAAATCAAGCTGTTAATGATTGTTGCATATGATATTTAGGCTTTAAGATAACAGGCTTGTTCGTTGTCTTGATTATTGGTCTTCTCTTAGAAATTTCCCTATTTGAGAGCTAAGCAAGAAACACAAGATGATTTTTTTATGTCACTTACAGGCCGTGATTAAAAGGCTTATGACGGATGTCCCATTTGGTGTACTTCTTTCTGGAGGTCTTGATTCGTCTCTTGTTGCTGCTGTTGCTTCACGCCATCTGGTTGATTCAGATGCTTATTGTCAGTGGGGGTCACAGTTGCATACTTTTTGTGTTGGATTGAAGGTCCATATCCTTTTATTATGAATTTTTATAAAATTTTATTTTACTTTATATATCATCATGAACTCTTTACTTCTTCCCAAGCAAAATACTGGAATCAATATGAATACTATGTTTATCAGTCGAAATTAGAGAAAAATAGATAAATTAAGTATTAATATTTGTGCTTCAGGGTTCTCCTGATTTGGTTGCTGCAAGAGAGGTAGCTGATTATCTTGGCACTCTCCACCATGAGTTTTACTTTACTGTTCAGGTAATTCGTCTTTCAAATTATGCCCTTCTTCCCGAAACAAGTGTTTAGATTTCTATCAGAATAAAGTGCCTACTTTCATTGTGAGAAGGAGAAATTCATTACTTCTATTATCAAGGGTAAAATTGTCATTTGGTTGATTAAAAAGGTGTCATAGTTACAAATTTCTAAAACCATGTCTTTTTTATTGTGGACTTCTATTTATATTTTTAGTTTGTTCCAAAACAAGTGTCCACTTTCAAAATTGAAGAGCCTACTTTCCAATTCTATCTTTAACTAGAAGACAGATAAATTCATTACTCCTATTATGAAGGGTAGACTTGTCATTTAGTTAATTACAAAGTGTAATAATTACACACTAAAACCATGAGCCTTTTTCATCGTGGACTCTTATTTTGGACGGAGGAAGAAAAACAAAAATTATAATACATGTATTCAGATATGCTCATCTCGTTAACTGAATCAGGAAGGAATCGATGCACTTGAAGAGGTCATTTACCATATTGAAACCTATGATGTGACCACTATCAGAGCCAGCACACCCATGTTTCTCATGTCGCGCAAAATCAAGTCTTTGGGAGTAAAAATGGTTCTTTCTGGGGAAGGTTCAGATGAAATTTTTGGCGGATATTTGTATTTCCACAAGGCACCCAACAAGGAGGAGTTCCACCAGGAAACATGCCGAAAGGTTCTACATTTGAGCCTTACCTTCATAAATATTTTTATGAAGTATATAATATATATATATATATGTTGTATATAAAGGATCAGGTTCAAATGAGAACAGTGACCAAATAAGAGAACCTGAAAATGGGCAAATCACATGTGATTTTACACTAAAATTACATATAGAATCTCATGTGATTTGTGCAACCAGGTTGTGGGCCAAGTCGCACTCATGCACTTGTGTTGACCGCTTTCCGTAATTGCATGTGATTTCCGTGAAAGATCACATGTTATTTGACTGTTCTGGTGTTTTCTTATTTCGACTTTGTTCTCGTTTGAACCTCACTCTGTGTGTATGTGTGTGTATATATATACACTCTAATGCGCACTTCGACCCTTTGGTTACCTTCATAGATGTTTAGACTGCAATTTCTAACACATTCTTTTTTGTGCATCTAGATCAAAGCTCTTCATTTGTTTGATTGCTTGAGGGCAAATAAGTCTACTTCAGCATGGGGTCTTGAGGCTCGTGTACCTTTTCTAGATAAGGAGTTCATTGATGTTGCAATGAGCATTGACCCAAAGTGGAAGATGGTACAGTGAATTGCTCTTCCTTATAAAATTACACACACACACATACAATATATATATATATATATATATATATATATATATTATATAGGTGCTCTCAGATAGGGAAATTATCTTACTTTCCAAACAAAAAGACCCTACTTTCATGTCGGATTTACTGTGTCTGTTTGGTATGGGTTTAAATCAGGCTTTCTATTAATTCCATAGAATTTGATTATTTACCAAAAATCCAAGATTCAAGCAGGAAAAGAATTGTTCAAGAGTTAATTTATTATAATTTATTATAGATTCAACCTGATGCTGGAAGGATTGAGAAATGGATCTTGCGTAATGCATTTGATGATGTCGAGAAACCGTATCTGCCAAAGGTATGTTGTTTCCTCTACTATTTCATCTAGTGAACGTTTTCGTGAAATATAAGTGTCTTGTCCCCTGTCCCAGCACATACTGTACAGGCAGAAGGAACAGTTCAGTGATGGAGTTGGATACAGTTGGATTGATGGCTTAAAAGATCATGCAAACAAGCAGGTCTCTCTTGATTACTTGTTTAGTGGAAAGTTCATTTACAAACCATAAATAGTTTCCGAACCAAATATTCATAATGAATATTCATCATGATATTTATTATGGATATTTGGTTTTCATGGTTCTCATGATGAACCTTCCCCTGCTTTTATATATTTATAATGAAATCAAACATTGGTCTAAGACAATTACTGTTGCAGGTTACTGATTCCATGCTAACAAATGCAACCTTTGTTTATCCTGAAAACACCCCCACAACAAAAGAAGCCTACTACTATCGGACAATCTTTGAAAAGTTCTTCCCGAAGGTGGGTTAAGTTAATTTTTTTGTTTGCTTATATTTTTGGTGTTATCTGACTTCCAAGATTTGAAACCTGGGAGATTGTTCTCCTCATATCATACTTGATGCCTAAACAGTCCAGATAACAATATTTTTTAATCAAAATACATGACCTGATATTTTTAAGAACGTCTACAAGAATGCCTCAAAACATGTCGGAAGTTCATGCATTTATAAAAATTCTCAGGAGATTATTTTCCACCCCTCATCCATCTGCAACATATTTCACTACAACTTCATTAGGTTTATCGTCGGACGCCTAAAATGTTTAGGTCTCCTAATAGAATACTTTATAGGACATCTAAAAGTGTTGCAATGGATTTATAAGACGCTTTTGGGTGTTTAAGCAAGTTTTTTAGGATGCTTTTAAAATAAAGTGTTGTATTAGTTGTTTATACGATATTATTTGAAAAAGTGTAAGATAAACATAATCGTTCTACTAAAAGATGGGTTTATAGTACACTTTTTTAAAATAGTTAATTAGACACTTCATTTTGAAAGCAGTGGGACACTATAGTTTGGTCCTATAAACTTAAGTCCTATAAAGTATGCTATTAGAAGGCTTAAACATATTAATATAAACCCAGTGTTTGATCATATTTTTGGACCCAACTGTAATATATATTTTTGTGTTTGCCATTTGAAGCAGAATGCAGCAAGATTAACCGTTCCTGGTGGTCCAAGTGTGGCATGCAGCACTGCTAAAGCAGTGGAGTGGGATGCATCTTGGTCTAAGAATCTTGATCCATCTGGCAGAGCTGCTCTTGGGGTTCATGCTGCGGCTTATGGAAATGCAGGCGAGACCAAGAGTGATGGCCCGATGAGTGGTGCTTAATGACTATGAGAGATTGCTGGATGAGTTGTTGCATTGTAGGTTGTTTTCCTACAAAATCTATTGGGTTGGGGAAGCAGCCATTTTATTGCATATTAATCATGGTTCCATGCCGTGAAACACCTTTGTTGGGGCTCTGTTCGTATATTTGCTTATGCTTGGCAGAAAGTTTTTTATGGTTATGGTTATAGTTATCTTGATCCTCCTCCTTCTATGATAATGTTCATCATCTCATAGTTTATATGAAATTTGATTCACATACACTTTTTGCACACCTTTCTTTTAGATTTGTTAATTCAAGTGAACAAAATCCAGACTTATTTGTCCAAAAATCAAACAAGACATGTATAAAACATGTAACAAAATTGTAAATGTTATCAAACAAGCATCGATTGTTAAGACCATCTTTATAATTTCTCTAAAAGTCAAAATCTCATTTAGTGGGAACAAATTTTCTATTTAGAGATTTCTACATTGTGACAACTGTCAAATTTGAACTTCCAGGTTAGCTCTTATTAAGTTTATATTAGTGTTATTGAAGATAATTTATAAGATTAGGAGTTAGTTAGATTAGTTTGGCCGAAAAATTTCTAGAAATTTCGGTAGTTGCTTAGAAAGTCCGGTTCCGACCCGTAATTATCTGAAACGTCCTATACAGTGCCAAATGCTTTAATTTATACCCAATTTATATAAAACACCAAGTTTTAGTGTTTTAAGTATAAAACCTTTTTATTTAAATGAATTTAGYCATCATGGGTTTTTAATTTGAAGAAAAATGTCAAAATTGAGAAAAATGACATTTAACAAATTTGGGCTTAAAGTTTATAAAAAAAAAAAGTTATTATTATTGTGGGCTTGGGCTCCCATGGCCAGCCCCCACTCCTAATACCCACATATAAAAATCCTTATTTCTCCATTTTCAACTCATTATCTCATTTTCAAAATTTGAAACTCTCTCCCTCTCCCTCTCTAAACTCAAGAGACTCTCAAGGTTACTTTATTCATCCTTCATACTCTAGCAAATTTCTTTATATTTCTTCATCAAAATAGCAAGGATTTGAAGATATTACATTCCTTACATCAATAATCAAGGTAACATCTTCATCTTTTTCTTGCAAATTTTGGGAGAAAAACCCACTTTTTATGCATTTCTATCTACTATCTTCTAACCTCCGAAAATTCTGAGTTTTAAGGAGAGATTACACACCAAAAACATGTAAAAATGTTCATATGATGGTGGTAATCTATGACCCAAACATTAGAACTCAMGAAAATGGGTAAAATCATGTTGCATGTGGGTTTGTTTATTAAAAATGATATTTTTTGGTGCTGACAGATTATGTGCATGTGCACAAATCGTCTATATCTTGAAAATAATATGTTCAAAGGTTATGAATCTTCTTCTAAAAGTTTATTTATTGAGTTGGGGTTGTAATCCAATTGGTCTCACTCAAAAACATTGAGTTTTGACTTCCCAAATACTCAAAACATTATATATGTGCATCTGAGAGTTTTTCAGTAGGTAAACCCTACTTTAAACAGTCATAACTTTCTAAATAATCATTCAAAATCATTGAGTTTTCTTCTGGAAGTTAACTTAATGAGTTACCTTTCAAATGCCACTGATTTCATTCAAAAATGTGGTGATTTCTAAAAACAAAGTGAGCATGCAATCTGTTCGAATCTGACAGATTTGTATATGTATGTTCCAATGGCCATATCTCTTTCAAAACTCGATGAAAAAGGATGATTCTTCCTTTGAGAGTTAAATATATGAGTTATCTTCTGCATGCAAGTGGAATCACATACAAATATGGAGTTTTGTTCTCCAAACACCTAAAACACTTTAGGTGTGCAAACTGTGAAACCACCAGTAGGCAACTCCTACTTTGTATGCTAATATATCTTTATTTACTTGCTCTTAGTGTATGATTCTTATTCTAAAATGTTCTTTAATGAGTTAGGGTTCATATGAACCCAGTATCACTCAAAAATATGAAGTTTTGAGGCATTAACGAATTTAATTAAATTAAGTGCGCAATCTGTCAACTAATGACAGATGTGTGTATGTAACTTTATGGTGCCATGTCTTCCTCTCAACTCATCCAAAATGAGTGATTCTTAGTTTAAAAGTTTCATATAAGTGTTAAGTTTATAATCCAACTTGAATTTCTGCAGAACACTTAGTAGAACTCTTTAAATAAGTATTTTACTAACATGGTGTAATCTGCCATATCAGTTGTGATATATTGTATTGCATAAATTATTTGAATCATTATTGCATGTCCAAAATGCATAAAATTTGGTCATGATGACCATAACTCAATTCTATATCTCATATAAAAATATAGGAAACTATCTCATTTTAGAAGTCTATGAATTGATCATTTTATGTATCATTAGTTTCTGCCCAAAAATGAGATTTTGGGATTATTTGATTTTGTAAATTTTGATCTTTTTATTGGACTATAGCATTACTTCCGGTATAAATTACTATACTAACGAGCAT